GCAAGCATTTCCTCATGTGTCTGTTGGCCACTTGAATGTCTTCTGTGGTGAAGTTTCTATTCATTTCCTTTGCCCATTTTTTAATTGGATTATTTGTCTTTTTGTTGTAGAAATGTTGGATTTTCTTATAGATTTTAGAGATTAGACCTTTGTCTGACTTGTAACGTCCAAAATTTTTTCCTGGTCTGTAGGTTCTCTTTTCACTCTTTTGGTGAAGTCTTTTGATGCGCATAAGTGTTTAATTTTTAGAAGATCCCAGTTATCTAGCTTATCTTCTGGAGTTTGTGTGTTGGTGGTTATGGTTTGTATCCTGTTATTGCCGTGTATTAGGGCCTCTAGCGTTGATCCTATTTTTTTTCTATGAACTTTATAGTTTTTGGCTTTATATTTAGGTCTTTGATCCATATTTAAATTAGTTTTTGTATATGGTGTGAGGCATAGGTCCTGTTTCATTTTTTTGCAGCTAGACATCCAGTTTTGTCAGCACCATTTGTTCAAAAGACTGTCTTTTCCCCATCTGATGGACTTTGGGCCCTTGTCAAAGATCAGGTGACTGTAGGCGGATGGATTTACATCTAGGTTCTCAATTCTGTTCCATTGGTCAATGTGTCTGTCGTTGTACCAGTACCAGGCTGTTTTGACTACCATAGCTGTATAGTAGGTTCTGAGGTCAGGTAGTGTGAGTTCTTCTACTTTATTCTTCTTCTTCAGTAGTGCTTTAGGTATCCGGGGACTCTTCCCTTTCCATATAAAGTTAATTAGTTTTTCCATCTCTTTGAAGACTGTTGTTGGTATTTGGACCGGGATTACATTGTATTTGTAAATTGCTTTGGGTAGAATTGTCATTTTCACAATGCTGAGTCTACCTATCCGTGAGCATGGTATGTTTTTCCATTTATGTAGATCCCTTTGGGTTTCTTCTAGTAGTGTTTTGTAGTTTTCTTTGTATAGGTCTTTTACATCCCTGGTTAGATTTATTCCTAAGTATTTTATTTTTTTTAGGGGCTATTATAAGTGGTATTGTTTTCCTGATTTCCTTTTCATCATTCTCTTTATTGGTGTATAGGAATCCTACTGATTCTTGTATGTTTATCTTGTATCCTGCTACTCTGCTGAATCTTTCTATTAGTTCCAGTAGTATTCTTGTGGAATCTTAGAGTTTTCTATGTATAGTATCATATCATCTGCAAACAGGGACACTTTAACTTCTTCATTACCAATTTGGATGCCCTTTGTGTCTTTTTCTTGCCTTATTTCTCTAGCTAGGACTTCCAGCACGTTAAACAGAAGTGGTGATAAAGGGCATCCTTGTCTTGTTCCTGTTCTCAAGGGGAATGTTTTCAGCGTCTCTCCATTAAGAACGATGTTGGCCAGTGGTTTTGCATAGACATCCTTTATTATGTTGAGAAATTTCCCTTCTATACCTATTTGATTGAGAGTTTTTATCAGGAATGGTTGTTGGACTTTGTTGAATGCCTTCTCTGTGTCAATTATGATGATCATGTGATTGTTTTCATTCCGAAAAGATTAATTTTAAAGTAGGGAGAAGAGGCAGAACCTTCGAGCGAGGCTGTAGATTCAAAGGTCAGCTAGAGAGCCCTGGTCACATGGCAGGCAGAAGAGATGCTTGAAATAGAAAGAACTAGAGTCTGGGCTCATGGAAGTGCAAGGTAGCCATGGAAGTAACTTTTGTATATGTAGCCATCCTCTTGTAAAGGTTGTCCCTATCTAACCCAGACTTGCCATTACAGACTAGATTCTCCAAGGTCAAAACAGTGATTTCTTATATATTCCATATTTTTATCATTGAGTGCATCAGGATATGAAATAAAAGAGAAGTAGAAAAACAAAGGGAAGAAAATCAGGTCCAATTCCTACTCCCACATGTCATTTCCTTTGGTTGGCTTCCTTTCGTCTATTCCTCCCCCTGGCATACTAAACAATCTCCTTCCTCCTCCTTTCTAAAGCTACTCTCATATTCCTCTAAAGTACTGAAGGGTTCCCCTATTGTAGAAAGCTTTAAACCATTCCAGAATGCAAGGTTATGTATACACTTCCTAGTGGAGGTTACTATTGCTAAAACTAAGTCAACCTCTGTGCTTTTTGAGAAGTTTTACTATAGAAATATTGATTAATTGCTACATAGACCTAGCCATAATAAATATGCTAAGATATTGTATATCACCCTGGTTGAAAAATAATGGTAATAAAAAAAGCCTTCTCATTTGTATTTCAAATCTATGCTTTTTCCTTTCACCTTAATTTTAAGTTTCAAATCAAGCTGTCTCAGTTTACTGTCATATACCATACTTACATGCTCTGATATTAAGGGTGTGCTTTCCATGGAACATGTGTTACTTGGTATTTCACTTTTGATGAACAAAAATATGAAAGCACTGTAAGAAAAGAAATTTTAGTGATATTTATCTTACTCTTGGTTCATAATTAAACCGTCTGATTTCTAAGAGAAAACACAGCTTAAATCATCAAGTTCTACTGATATGATGATTACTTCCAGTGTGGGTCCTTTGGTGGTCCTGCCATTTCTCCAGAACTGCCATTCTCTTTGATGTCTCTCACTTTCCTTAACTGCAACAGGTTAAAAGCTAAACTTATAAGCTTTTCCCCCTCATCAGCTCTCTCTCCTGATTTCATTATTTTAGTCAATGGCCTCATCTTTCCTTTTATTCCTCCTTCACCTGGCATCATAAAGTAAGAGAAATGCAGGTAAAAACTACATCAAAATAATATTTCTCTTCTCTTATATGGACAAAACCCCAAAAGTTTAGCAACATCCTCAGTTGGCAAAACTGTAGAAGACAGGAATTCTCATCTATCACTGATTGGCGTGCAAAATGGTACCGCTCCCATGGAAGGGAATCTGAGGCTATCTACAAAAGCTACAGATGTGCTCACTCCTGGCCTGAGCAGTGCTGCTCCAGACACTCTCCCGCAGGAGTACCCACATCAGGTGAAGTGACCTGTGTGTTCACACAATGGACAGTGCCTGTCTAGTTTGCCACTCACAGTGTGTTTCTGTTACAGCAACACTAGATATCTAAGATACCCATATACATATAATTTACAAAGCTAATATTAGACGCTGCAATTGCATTTTTTTTTAAAAGTATACAATGAAAACCCTCTACTTTGTATAGATTTGTGTGTTTTTCTAATAAACAAAACATGGGGATATGCTAGGGAGCCTCCAATGGTTTTTAAACAAGAGAATAACATGATTCAATAGCAGATGTGAGCAAATAGTACTGGCAAAAGAAAAGAATGGAATCAGGGAAATTAGATGTGACATTATTACAATTATATACAGGTGGGTAGGTAGTAAGGGACTGATGACAAGGAGAAAAAGAACTTGAGAAACATTCAGAACAAATTTTAAAGAATTATATATGGATTGGGGTATAAAGGGAAAGACATTAAAGATGACTGAGATTTCGAATTCGAATGACCTTCTATTCAGAGAGAGGGAACTCAGGAAGGGGAACCAGTTTGCAGAGAATGGAAAACTAAGAAAAGTAATTCTGTTTGGGAAATGTTGAAGGTAAAGAGAAAGGAACTAAGTCTAGTGTTTGTGGAGTGACCCTGCATGGTTCCCTTATCCATGTTATTTCACATTAGACAGAGTAGGAGACACCTGTGGGGCATCCACATAGAGATTAGCCTGGTTTGTGGTCAAGGAGAAGGATTGTAGCTCTGAAGAAAAGGAATGGCTAGGAACAAAGATTTGCATTTCCTCACAATATAAAAGCTGAAGCTGTGGGAGTAAACAAAACTCTCCAGGGAAAAAGAGAAAAGAATGGAGAGCTGAATCTCGGGGATAATCCAAAGTACATTTTTTCTTGAATAAAAAGAAAATCTGCCTTTCTATGAGCTCTGACTTGTGGATCATTATTAAAGCAAACGTTTAACAGGGTGTCCTGGATATTGTCTCTTTGTGTCAGCTCCGCTCCCGCTGATGTATCTTCTCTCCTGAACCTAGGCCTGTTGCTGTTAGCTGACGTCAAGTTGGCCCCCAAATCATGATGACCCCATGCACAACACAAGCAAATGCTGCTTAGGCCTATGCCAGAATCTGTTGGGAATCAGACTGGTATGATCCATAGGGTTTTTCACTGGCTGACTTTCAGAAGAAGATCACAAGGCCTTTTTTCCTAGTCCGTCTTAGTCTGGATGCTCTGTTAACCCATTCGGTGTCATAGCAACAAACAAGCCTCCACTGACAGACAGGTAGGTGGTGGCTGAGCATGCGGAGCATTGTCTGGAAATCGAACCACGGTCTCCTTTATGAAAGTTGAGTATTCTCTCACTAAACCACTAATGCCTCATTGAACCTACGCCTAGAGGACTGAAAACTATATTTCCCAGACTCTGTTGGCAGCCTGTCCCATTTAAGTTCTGCCAATGTGAGGCAATGGCATAGAAGATTAAGAAGTAGGAGAAGCCATTCTATTTTGGTGGGTGCTCCAGTAACTTCAGCAGCCATGGTAGCTCAGGATAGAGGCAAGTGCTGGCCGCAGTGTGGGCTCTATGGCTTTGGGCGATGCCTCCGTCCTTCTTTTGCTCCATTATGTCTTATAACACTTTTTGTGAACAATCCCCAGAACTCAATCCCCTGCTATAGAAAATACCTAGGCTGGTTTTGGCCTTACAGAATGACTGACGCTTACCTTATATATCACAAGGGCAAATGCAGACTGAAATTATTTACTCAATCCTTCAAATATTGCGCAGTACAGTGGAGCAATAAGAAACTCACTTAAAAAAAGGACAGCAATGCCCTAAACCAATGTAACCATATTTCAGTTTTCCATACACTGACCCTAAAGCTCCAGGATTATTAAATGAAAGCCCATCATAACAAACTGATTTAACTGAGTTAAAATAATGAAATGACAGATCCCAGAAATCCCTCTCAGTAAAGAAACAGAAGGGAACCTAGATGCACTACAGGAAGATATAACTGCTTCCCCTGCCACAGACTAAGCCCCGAACAAAGCTGCGTGATTCTGAGGTACACTGACTGGTTTAACACGGAGCTAGGCAACAGCTGCCCAAAGGGGAAATAATAATTGGATATTGTCATGGATTGAATTGTGTCCCCCAAAAATATATGTCAACTTGGCTGGGTCATGATTCCCAGTATTGTATAATTGTGTACTATTTTGTAGTCTAATGTGATTTCCTTATGTGTTGTAAATTCAATCACTATGATCTAATAAGACGGATTAGCAGCCGTTATACTGATGAGGTATACAAGATTGGACAGCGTCTTAAGCGAATCTCTTTTGAGATATAAAAGAGAGAAGAGAGCAGAGACACATGGGAACCTCATACCACCTAGAAAGCAGTGCCAGGAGCAGAGAGCATCCTTTGGACTTAGGTTCCTGCGCAGAGAAGCTCCCAGACCAAGGGAAGATTGATGACATGGACCTTCTTCAAGAGCCAACAGAGAGAGCCTTCCCCTGGAGCTGATGCCCTGAATTTGGACTTGTAACCTAGTGGACTGTGAGAGAATAAACTTCTCTTTGTTAAAGCCATCCACTTGTGGTATTTCTGTTATAGCAGCATTAGATGACTAAGACAGATATGGAATAGTTATTACTAAAAATAACGATTACTATGAAGAAACTAGCTAACATATAGAGCATTACATGTGTCCAGTACTATGCAAAGCACTTAACAAATTTTATTTTATTTAATCCTCAATACCTCTTATGAGATTGGTACTATTATTACCCATTTTCCCCACTTTACAGAAGAAGAAAACAAATTATTTAGAGAAATAATTTGTCTAAGGTCACATAAGTAGAAGTGGTAGAACATAAATAATTAATTTGTCATTTTAGAGAAAGTACTATTTCTAAAGAAAGAAATGTGCAGAGAAATAATGCTTGATGGACTGGGAAACGGGTCTTAAATTACCATAAAGTCAAAACTAAGGCATGCAACATCTGCGTGTAAAGCAATTGTTTTTAAGAGAGTTATTCAAAGCTAGAATGCTGTGTGAATTGTACAAAATACATAAAACTGCCTCAAACTAAAAATGTCAGGCATCTGCCATTTTAGAATAATCTGTGTTATTTTTTCTCCAATTGGCCTGGGACTACTCTCTAAGGCAACATTTCAGTGACAAGAGATTGTTCCAGAATGTGGCTGGGGAAAAGCTATCATTGCCAGAGGAAGGGAAACATACTGTTCCTTCCCTAAAGAATAAAAAAGTACTAAAATCTCTGCAGGCAGTGCTATCAATTCTGTGAAACGCTGACAGGGACTATGAACAGAGTCCAGCGAGGAAAAGAGACTGAGTTTAAGGTGACTTAGTTCTTGTTAGAGCTTTATTGATGGAACACTACCATGCAGAGATACCATCCTCATCTAGGTACATACACTTCGGACACAGATTCAAAAGAAGACTCTAGGTATTCAAAAGAGTATGTGTTTTCACAGGTGAGAGAGTGGTTACCTAGCTGGTTAAGAAGAGTGCATGAGGTGACAGGAAAGTGGAAAGTGCGTGGTAAACAGTGACAAATACATAGAAGAGAGAATTAACAGCAATTCCAACAGCATCAGGAAGCCAGCATATGTTTATTTGGATACTATTTTTTGGGAGTCCCTGGAAGGTACAAGCAGTTAATGCACTTGGCTGCTAACCAAAAGGTTGAAGGTTTGAATGCACCCGTAGGCACCTAGGAAGTAAAATCTGGTGATCTAGTTCCAAAAAATCAGCCACTGAAAACCTTACGGGAGCACAGTTCTACTCTGACACGCATGAGGTTGCCATGAGGCAGAATCGACTTAGTGGCAACCAGTAGTACATGGATAGCATTTTTTAGTTTGCAAAATAATTTATTTGATTCTAATTTAAGAGCTATATATTATGATTGTCTATTTATTACAGATAATGACACAGCTTCAAAGCAGTTAAATGATTTTCCCAGGGTGTCACAGATTTTGAGAGCTAAAGCTGGAACTCCTGATCCCAGATCTGGTACTTTTTGTCCTCCAAAGCCAAGTTTGTCATCGTAAATGAAGAACTTGAGGAAGCGTCATGCAGATTTTATGAAATGCATATCTAAAAAAATGTAAAAACATCCTAACCAAAAGTCAAACCCATGGCCTTTGAGTTGGTTTTGACCCCTGGTGACCCCATGTGTTACACAGAACTGTTCCAAAGGAGTTTCTTGGCTACTATCTTTACTGAAGCAAACCTTTCTTCCATGGTTCCACTAGGTGGGTTCAAACCGCTAAACTTTAGGTTAGTAGTTGAGTGCAAACTTTTTATGCCACCCAGGGAACTTTAAAAAAATGTATTCTAAATGTTTGGGAGAACAGATAAATCACTAGAAATGGCTGTGTACCTTATTATTGATAGTCCAGCTCCAACGTAATTAAGCAGCGGTTTTGATACTTCTTGTGCATCCATTCCAAACCAGCCAAACCTAGAAATGTCAGAAAGTTATATTAAGTTAGATATTCTTGAAAATGTGCTAATTCGTAATGTTTAAGGGTGTGATTAAGGGCCAGATTCCTAGGTTCAAATCCTAGGTCCTTCACTTAATAACTGCGACTTCAGATAAGTTACTTTACTGTGTCTCAATTTTCCTTATTTCAGATGGGAGTAATAATTGTACCTTCCTCCTTGATTTGTTTTGAAGATTAAATAAGTTAATATATGTAAAAATACTTGCAAGTGTCCCTTTCTTATTAAGGCTAAAGAAGGAGGAAGAAAAATAGATCAAGTGGCTAATTTGAATGCCAATTAACTGGCTGAAATTTTGTACAGTATTTGAAATAGACTTTTAAATAACTGGTTAAGAATCCCCACTCTTTGACATCACCCTAAATTCTTTTTTTTCCCCATGCCTTGATGTTACAGTGTTCGTTACCAACAATCACTGAGACTCATCTAGGAGCCAGAAAAAAAGAAGGAAAGAAGAAAAAGAAAAGAAAACAGCATTGGTAAAAAGCAGAGTGGGGAATAGGGAGAGAAAGGACAGGACAGAACGTGTTTGAGGCCAGTTTCTTTTGTTGTTATGGAAGTTGTTGTAATTCTTTGGGTAAGGAGGGACACCGAATGTTAGGGAAGAGCAACATGCTCCATTCTATTAATTTTCCCAAACTTGACTTGAGTGTTAATGCTGATTGAGGGCAGCAGCATCTCTGGCACAGTGCCTTTGAACAGAACTGTCTGTGAGATGGGAATATCTTAATTTTGTAGTGTCCAGTAAGGTGGCCTCTAGCCAGCGTGGTTACTGATCACTTAAAATGTGGCTATTCCATCTGAGGAACTGTTTAATTTTATTAAAATTTGGTAAGTTTAAATTTAAATAGCTACTTGTGGCTAGTGGCTACCATATTGGACAGCGAAGCTCTACAGCAAGGGTTGGCAAACTTTTACTTATAGGGCCAAAAGGTAAATATTTTAGATTGTATGGGCCTGATGGTTTCATCAAATATTCAGTTGAATTCTGGGGATTGTTTACAAAATTGTTATAAGACCCAGTGGAACAAAAGAAGGAAGACGGCATCACCCAAAGCTCTGGAGCCACATTGCGGCAAGCATTGTGGGAACATTTGCCTCTGCCCTGAGCTACCACTGCAGCTGAAACTACTGAAGCCCCCACCAAAATAAAATGGCTTCTCCCATCTTTTAATCTTACATGCAGTGTAACCTTATAGAAAATATGTAAACAAATGTGCTGGGTTTCAATAGAACTTTATTTTAAAAAATGGCTGGAGGATCAGATTTAGCCTACTGGACTGTAGTTGGCTGACCAAGTTCTAGAGGGAAAGTATGTGCTTTAGAACTAGAAGACTTGGGTTTGAATCTTGGCTTATTAGCTCCATGCTCTTCAGCACGTTTTCAACCTCTGTTTGAATCAGCTTTCTTATAGGTAAGATAGTATTTACCTCTTATATTTTTGCAAATGAGATGCGAATGATGTATACAACATGTCCAGCAAATTGTTACACAATAGAAAGGGAAAATAGGCATCAGTTCCCTTTCTCCCTTCCTACTTCTGTTCCCTAAAAATTCTTTACTATATCCTGATCAAATATCTAGATAACTTATTCAGAACTTACAACAAATAATAATTAAAATTGGCATATTTTATTTGTATGTTTTACCAGCCGTAATCTCTGTGAGGATAAGAAGCATCTGTTGGTTCTCTCAGGAAGTCCAATTCCTAGCACTTGCATTACATATAGTATGGGTACAGGGAATCTTGGCTGAAATGGTTTGACTTGTGTTACCTTGAGCTTGCCCAGCCAGTGAATGCATTAAATGATCCCCAGATTAAGACGCCAAGGCCTAAACCAATGGTTTTGATAATTGGGACTACAGCAATGTTCCCTGTAGATGTAATAATACAAAAGAAGTGTTATTTCCAATATAGAAAACACATATGTAAATTGAGCTAGTTTTTAACCTAACTTCAACTAAGACTTAGCAGATTTGGACAAATTTAGTACTTAAAGTACAGTTCCCCATTTTTAAATAAAAGAAACATATTTCTCTGGCATTAAATTCCTATTTATGATTGCCAAAGGAATGAAACTTAGGGCAAAATCTTACAAAGAAAAGTGTCTAATTAGCTCCTTGCCTAATTGTGCAGATGCTCTTCATTCCTAACACAGTTCTCTGAGGAATTTTTGCAGAAAAGGCCAATGATGAAATTACTAGTAAAATCTTCATAGAGTCAAACCAGGCCAGAAGTCTTCAGCCCCAATACGGTCCCAGACTTTGTTCTCCATGCTCACTGACACTTCTTCTGGATCCTTGCATTCATTGCCTGTGCCCTTGAGGGTCACTCATGACCAAATCCATGATCCTTTTTCACAATTCTCAACCTTTCTGCAGGCCTGCAACCTCTGGCCTCATTCCTGCAATCTCTTCTTGAAACATTTCTTCTCTTGGCTTCCAGGATGCCTTCAATCTCTTCTTCTTTCTTTCATTAACTCTTTCTCTGGCTGCTCTTCCTCACCATACCTTCTGAATTTAAGCGTCCCCTAAAGATCTATCTTTGAATATATTCCTCCTCTTGCTATATTCTTCTTCGGGCACTTCAGCTAATTTCATTTCAGCTGTCAACTACAGGCACATGCTCCCAGTGCCCTAGCTACAGCCTGGACCTCCTCTAGAGTTTTCGTGCCAAGCTCCAAACTGCAGGTAAGAAATGTCCAACAGATGTCCTGCACTGCGGAGACTTCAGAAATTTCAAATTCAGGATGTCCCAAGCCGAACTCATCATTTTCTCTCTCAGACATGTTCTTTTCCTTATTTTCCTCACACATGTTAATGATGCCACCACTCTCCAATCACCTAGAAAGAAACCCTACATCGCCATCATTGGCTCCTCCCCTTCCCCTACTCCTCACATCCAATCAGGTGCCATGACCTACAGCATCCACATCTGCAATGTTTGTCTAATTAGACCCCTTCCACATCTCAATCCTGCTGGGTGAGAGTGAATACTCTGGTGGTTATAAAGAGCTGCTAGATGAACGAATGCTTTCTCTCCCTCCCTTCCCCACTGCGCATGACAAACACAGTAAGATATAAATGAAACATAATAATTTAAATTGTATTGAAAATGTAAACATTTAACTCTTATTTCTGTCCTCCATCTCAGGAATTCCACTCAGTCATTTAATCCCTCTGAGATTCAAATCAAATGGGTACACAATAAATAACTTTAAAATTTATTTGGTTTTAACCAAAAGATCCTTGATACTTAGAAATTCTATTGGCTTAAGAAAAGAAAGTTTCCTGGGGTACATTTACATTAATAGAAGGAAAACATTTCTGATTGGTCCAGCCAAAGGCATACATTTTAGTTATATAATTTCAGGAAACTGAGTGAGGTTTTTTATTTTCTGCTAACTCGTATTTTGAAAATGAGAACATATCAGTGTTCGCCTACTTTTAGGACAAGTCCTAAAAATGATATTAATAGAGACTACCTAATTTAATAAATATGTTTCAATAAACATGCTAAAGAAAGAAAGGCTAGACCACTTAAAATAATATTATCAGTTATACTTGGCCAGATACAAAGTAACTGAAATGTTTTTGCCGTGATAATCTACTACCAGGCACTTACAAATTATTGAGAGGAAAGAGTTAAGAAATGCACCAAAAATATTTATTGAACATCCGAGAGAAAGAAATGTTAAATTCTGGAATCTATGGCTAGAGATTATTCAAAATTACTGTTTATGCTATTTCCTTCTATTGTGAATGAGAGTTATCTTGATTATAGTGTTAAACGACTAAAGAATAAGGTATATCATACATTACCTGTTGCCCAAATGCAGCCCCCAATCATTGCAAAAGGCCAGAATTTAGGGCAACGTAACATCAGATTGGCCACCAAGGCAATCAGCCATATTGCCGAACAAAGAACCCACTGGAGAAACATGCCTGCAAATAAAAGAACTTGGTGTCAGCAGTTCATATTGATTTGATTTAATCAATGCTTAGGAATATCAACGAGAGATTGCTTTAGGAAAGGTCGCAATTGATCAAATGTCTGTATGTCAGCACTTGGCACATTTCATTTAACTCTTGCAACTAATTTGCAAGGTAGTTATCCCTCATACAAAGATACAAAAACAATCTGAGAGAGGTTAAGCAATGTGTCCAAATAGCTGGTAGTTTATAGAAGTGAAATTTAAATCCAGGTTGTTCGACTCCGAAGCTAAACAAACCAAAACTGTTAACGTTGAGTCGATTCTGACTCACAGCGACTCAGTGTATATAGAAGAAAACATTATTGGTTTTCACCTGTTAGACAAATTGAGAATTTTTTTTCACCAAAGAATGTTAGTAAGACCAAGTTGATGTTTTCATTCGGATGTTACACTTGGTGCCATTCCCGTCCAAGTCCTGGCACTGAGAACTGCAGAATAGCACAACCGTGACTGAAACCATTAGGGAGCATTTATGCCACCTCTAGGATAAAAATAAAGTTATGTAGACCGCATACAGTTAGAGTTCCGTGCCCGTCACCAGCTAGATGTTACAAAGCTGGGGCCTAGCCCTCTAGGTCAGGGCTACTCTGCTTTCTCTGCTCTGGGTTGCCATTTGCCAGTTCTCTGAAAAGCACCTGGTGACAGAAGGTATATCTATCTGTACGTTTCTGAGGTCTCTGCACCAGCAGGGCTTAAGGGATAGAAGGATTAAAAAAATAATCAACACTGGAAAAACCCTGAAGCAGTTATAACTCAGCGTAGCTCTCTGACTCTGTAACTTTGGAAGATTTTCGCCTGTTTCTGTTCAACTTCACAGTGGAGAAGAGAGAAAAATTGGTTGTTAACCTCTAAGACGAGAAAGTAGAATCATAATGATGAAATGAAACTTCATTTTATAAGTTCTTTGTTTTACAAACCAGAAACTGAAAACAAAAGGTCTGATAAGACTCGCCTAGGATCACACAGCTAGTGTGCAAGAACTGAAAGCCAGGGCCTCTGCCTCTTAGGATGCTTGTTGTGGTGCTTCTAGTAGTTTCCATTCCCCCTCACAACTCCAAAGAAAAAGAGACAAAGCCGGTATCCGGGGGGAAAAGATTTGTACTCTTACTGTCTAAGTAATATCAAAACATCAGGAACTGGGGAGATAACACAAACAGCCGTAACCAGGTAGTTACTTGCCAACGGGTGTTCACCACACCATCTCCAATCCCTTTTCCTGGCTTTGACAGGGGAGGCAGGTAGATACAAGTAACTCTTGCTTCTCCTTCCCTAAAATTCACGTTACACTCAGTTCTGCTATAATGTGACCTTTGCTCTCCTAAAAATCAATGCATTATGTAAAACTGTGCAATAAAACCACAGGGCTTATGTGGAAAGTAGGGTCAGGGGAAACACTCAACAACTTCATCAGAGATGCACTTAGTAAAAAAAGATAGGAACCTAATAAAAATGGTAGTACAGTTTGACACAGATTACGTGGTTAAGAAATTAATAAATACTGCAATAAACATGGCGCCTTAGCTTGAAAAAGACTGGAAGTTTGCTTGTGGAAGTGGGCATTGGAAGGGTTGCAGCGTGTGAGTTACTGTGAAATTGGAAGATGAAGGGTTATAAACAGATGCAGATGGGTGAGGGAGCTGGTAGATGTTGGAGCTGTGTGTGTATGTGTATGCACGTGTGCATGTGTACAAGCATGCGCGTGTGTGTTGTGTATTCTTACACACTTTTATTCACTTAGGTTCAGTTTTTTGTGTTCATCTAGTGTTTTCTTGGGGATAAAACTGCCTATAAGCAAACACAAAATTGACATTATACCCAGATTGTTCCTTAATATATCAATCACATTGGAAATTCGTGGTCTCAAAACAGATGTTATAGTAGAAATGACTGTATCTTCCTTCTTTGTAAACATAACAGGTATGGCTAAAGACCTTCCTGACAGTATTCATGCTGGCTTTACCATGAAACACAATCATAGGGGTTATCCTATAGCAACTTCTTAGATAAACCACATGGGCATTATCAAGAGATTTATTGTAAACTACATTCTTTCGGCACCGGGATGAACAAAACTTACTTTGTAGTTGTCATTTCAAAGAGACCAAACCACAGAGCCTCCCATTTAAAAATAATTTTCAGTTAAAAAGAAGGACAAAATAATTACCATCACCAGTATCATATTTTTTCAGTGGCACGAAGTTTGAACCAAACAAAAGGATAGCTACAGAGGAGGAGATGAACCCAGTGGTTAGGGTTGTTCCATTATTACTCATGGTTCCCGTAATGGCTGACAGCAAGCTCCCGCCCTTTAGACCTGATGCACGTTTCAAGAGCTTCTGAAATAAAAGAAGTAAAAATTAAACAATTAAAAAGTGGAGAATCTGTGAACAGATGTGATTCACATATGATATTTACTGGCCTTTTTAAAAGTATGCTAAAATTCCTTCTTGCAGATAGAGTTAGGACATGATGAAATGATGTACTACTTTCACACTTTATGTTCATGAATTCATTTATTCTATCCAAAGATGTTTTTTGGTCACCAACCTGCAATTTTTTTTTTTTTTTTAACGTTTGCCTTCAGAGCTTGAGAGCGTAACTGATTCCAGAATTTGGGCACAAGTTTTGTTATAAGAAACATCTCCTGGTATAAAGAAAAGATTCCTGGACTCAGACTGTTTGTCTCAATGGGTAATTGTGAGAAACAAATGAAAGAGGATCTTCAGAAATACTTTCAGAACTATAAAGGGCCTTCCCAGAAAAAGCTGTTGTTATATTTCAGACAGGAGCTCAAAGGGCACATGTAGGTCATTTTCCTGCTACCTCCTCAGGATCCCCTAGAGGTAAAGGCACCTTTCTTCATCAGCAATACTCTCACAGCATGCTAGTTTAAATAGCTCATGAATCCCCACATCTTTCTGACCTTCGGAAAAGCTGAACAGATAGGAGAAATGCCTCCAGAGACTCCTAAAGCACGAGATCAGCAGTGATGTGTTGCAAAATACTATCAGCCAGCAAAGCGATGTAGTTAGCTATCCGCACTGTGCAGTCTAATAGCCACTAGCTACACGTGTATAATTATATTTTCATGAACACTAAAATTAAAGAAAAAAATTCAGTTCCTCAGTCATACTAGTCATATTTTCAAGTGTTCAATAGCCACATGTGGCCAGTAGCTACTGTATTGGACAGTGCAGATTATAGACTTTTCCATCATTGAAATTAGTTCTACTGAACAGCCCTGCTAGACCTACCAAAAAGATCTCATCCCCCTATGAAGAAAAGGGCCAAAACCTCAAACAGCCAAGAATCAGAATTTTGTTACATGAAAACGTTTGGAAAAGGACACTGACCACAGTTCATCTTTTTGGTTGCAACAGTCACATAAGAAAATAATAACCCAGGAGAGTCATTGAATCATGGGAGGTAACCAGAGTCTCCTCACAACACCATCTTGGGTTCATATTTTGCATGTTGACCTTTCGGTTCACTTCACCATTTAAGCCCTCTGGAATGGAATTTAGGATAATTCAGCCCCCCCCCACCCCAAATTTAATGATACAGTGAGAGCTTCTACGGATATTGTTATGGATTGAATTGCGTCCTACAAAAATATGTGTCAATTTGGCTAGGCCATGATTCCCAGTATTGTGTGGTTGTCCACCATTCTGCGGTCTGATATGATTATCCTAAGTGTTGTAAAACCTAATCTCTTTGATATTAATGAGGCAGGACTCAATCTACAGGATTAGGTTGTATCTTGAGTCAATCTCTTTTGAGATATAAAAGAAAATTGAGCAGAGAAGAGAGGGACCTCATGCCACCAAGAAGGAAGTGCTGGGAGCAGAGTACATCCTTTGGACTCAGGGTCCCTGTGCTGAGAAGCTGCTAGACCAGGGGAAGATTAATGACAAGGACCTCCCCTAAACCCAAAAAAAGCCTTCCCCTAGAGCTAGTGCCCTGAATTTAGACTTCTAGCCCCCTTAACTGGAAGAGAATGAATTTCTCTTTGTTAAAGCCATCCACTTGTGGTATTTCTGTTATAGTAGCACTAGATGACTAAGACAGAATGTACTGAACTAAAAAAAAAAAAAAAAAGTTGCCATCAAGTCATTTTGACTCATGGAAACCTCATGTGTCAGAGTAGAACTCCCCTCCACAGGGTTTTCAGTGGCTGTAACCTTTTGGAAGTAGATCACCAGGGCTCTCTTCTGCACCTCAACTGGCTGGATTCTAACTGCCGACCTTTCAGTTAGTAGCTGAGTGCAAACCATTGGTGCCACCCAGGGACTATACATGTGCTAAATAAAGTGCCTTTCCTTGTTCGCTTTCCTTTCTAAGGAAATACTTACTTTCCAATGATAAACATTTATTTTAAGGTGTTTCATTTTCCATGTATTGGTTCTTAAGTGTTCTTGCAGAGTTTAATAAATATACAAATGTACCAAAAAAAAAAAAAAAACCCAAACCCATTGCCATCGAGTCGACTCTGACTCACAGTGACCCTATAGGACAGAGTAGAACTGCCCCACAGTGTTTCCAAACTACTTATAAAATATGTTATTTGGCATTATATGAATAATTTGACTTAACATAGGAATAATTTAAAAAATGATCAACAAATTTTGTTAAGGAAAGTATCTATTTGAAATTGTATGTATCTTCTTCAAAAAACAAAAACAAAAAATACCTGGTTAAAAAAAAAAAAAATCCATGGATATGTAGCCGAGGAAAAGATACACTAAAGTGTATTTAAACATTGACACCGTAAAACTATTTCAATTTAAAAAAACAAACCAGTTTTACTATTAGGCTCAAAGAAATGTTTAGCCATGCAGTGGCTGCATGGACCATTGCTCAAGGATCTAGAAAAGATAGCCAGGAACAAGAAGGTGGCTTGCTGTGAAGATATTGGAGCTGCAAAAGGCCAGAGGCACGGGGGGCATCTGGGCAGGGTACCATGAAACTAGAAATACACGGTTAGATGTTAGCTAAAAAAACAATTTTGTTTCCATTTTAAGTTAAAGGAAGCAAACTAAGCAAAGTAGAACCTTTATGAACACATTGCTAAGAGAATGCTGAAACTTCAAAAGTGGCAAATTCCTTTTGTGAAAAAAGGGATACATTGAAGAATATTGATGGACAGCTCTAAACCGCTTGGATTTCCCTCCAGACTGAAAGAATAGTTCGAAGTTCCAACCAGAGTACGTGAACTGCGTTTTGACCTCTTAATGACCATCAACTAGCTTTAATTTACTTAAAGTTATTACCTGTAGATAAACGCAAGTCTATTGCATACAGCTTCGTACATTTCAGAAAGCTCGTGATCTGATTTCAATGCAGATTCTCAATATTTACTATCTTTAAGAAGAGTCTACCTCTTTCTAAATCAATGAAATGTTTATGGAAAAGAAAAAAAAAATCATTTTATCTAGCATATTACTCCCAATTCTTTTTAGAGCAAACCTGTTAACAAGTCTTAAACTACTTTCAGGTAAAACCAAACATTATTTCAATGCTTTTACGTTTCCACTGATACTTTATTAAGCTATATTCCTTTTTATTTTACTACTTTTGTTTCGGTTATTGGTAAGTATTTTTCCTCTACAGAATTTTCCTAGTAATTTAAGCTTATCTGCGGATTCTTTGTTAGTATTTGATATGTTCTGATCACTACTGCTTGTTCTACTTCAGCTACGACTTCATTTTTACTTTCGCATTAATTTACTTCCTCATCTCCCGGCACGCTCTGCCTGCCTCTTGGCTAAAATGGGCAGTGCTTGACTGTATTTATTCTGGGCCTTGATTTTGCCTTTTAACCACAGACACATTTTGAAAAGCCCCGACACCCCTCTGCAAAGCGTCTCGGTCTGCGTCTGAGCAGCTGTACTCACCCGCGGAAGCTCGCCCCAGCTCGGCCCTGCCGTGCCCCGGTGTGACCCGCCTCTGTGTCGCCTGCACCTGCCGCCTCTCTGCTCCGCGGGGGCCACGCCAGCCTCTGCTTACCCGGACGATCATCTACAGACTGGGCGGGAGGAGGGGCGGGCTTTCTTACCCAAGGTCCGGGAGGTCAGCAGGTTAGGAAACACCTTCCTTCAGTGTCTCTCAGGTGTCCTCCGGGAGTGTATCGTCACGTGACTCAAGTGCGCTCAGTCAGCCGTTGCCGATCAGCAAACTAGAAAAACGTTTGTGCGTTTTAAGAGAATTGTTCCGGGGACGCTGAGCATGTCACCCTCCCTAAATGTCCCAGTGTTGGCTTATTTTTACTGATATGGGCACAACAAAAGTCTGAGGAATGTCACACAGTTGTAAAAGATTATCTGAAACTGATTTTTTCCTCTGATTATTAAGAAATTCGTCTGAGCCACTGATGTCATGAACAACTCTTGTGATTTGTAATCACTAATCGTTTCTAAATGCACCGAGAGCGCTTTTCGGTATATTTACCTAATGAGTACTGAGGGCCGCTATGTCCTAGGCCTTTTCAAGCTTGTCTGCACATTGCAATCACCCAGGGAGGGTTTTTTTTTTTAACAAAGATACTTGGGCTTCGCACTAGACCAATTGAAATATGATCTCTGCGGGTGTGGCTCAGGAATGATTTTCTTTTGAAACCTTCTCCAAGTGATTGTAATGTGCAGCCCAAGAATCACTTCTAGATCAATAGTGATTTGGTTTTGGTTTGGGGTTTTATATTTTATTTTTAAACTAGTTCCTACCTCTGGACACCACTCCCCAATTAGGACCAACCCATTCCTAGCCAAACTTCGCAGATTTCAAAATAAGCATATTATGAAGAAGGCAGATTTGGGGCAAACATGACTACTTTCCAAATTGGGATAGATCAAAACTAGTCTTTCCTGCTTTTTCACAGTGTTTCAACCAAATCCGGAGTGGAGCCAGGAGAGGTAAAATGGGGGAACATGCCCACCACCTGGGCTGGCCTTTGAGAAGGCACTTGTTAGTAGAAAATCACTGCCGAAGAAGCCAAAAAAAAAGGAAAAAAAAAAAAAAATCAGATACAGACATTATGTGACATCATTATGTTTTCCCAATGAGGAACATTGTATTTATTTTCTTTTTAGATGATGGTGTTTAGTTGTGATGTCGTATTGCTCAGAAGAATCACACGGAGTCTCTGGGCAACCCAAACAATTACGTGCTCAACTACTAGCCTAAAGTTTGGTGAGTAAAACCCACCAAGAGGCACCTTGGAAGACAGGCCTGGCAATCTGCTTCCAAAAGGTCACCTTTAAAAACCCTAGGGAGCACAGTTCTACTCTGCACACATAGGGTTGCCATGAATCGGAATCGACCTCAATGACAACTAACAACCATTACAAGAATATCCTAGGAAGGAGTTAACATGCAGGTTCCTGGGTTTGCCCCTGACATTTTGATTTGACTTAGGTTTTGGGAAACATTGCTGTAGTCCTCCACTGTCCAATACTGTAGTATGTGGCTACTTAAATTTAAATTAGAATTTAAAATTCAGTAGTTCATTTCAAGTTCCCAATAGCTACTTGTGCAGATTATATAACAGTTGTATCATTGCAGAAAGCTTTATTGGACAGCGCTATTCTAGACTGTTAGCTCTGGGAGTGCAACAGTGACCTAGATAAAATCTCACCTTCATATAGTCTCCAGGATAGCAAGGGACCCAGACATGAACAAACACCAAGTGGGACTAATGATATGCAAGGGGAAGTGCTGGGTTCTGCTCATCTCTAGGGGACCAAAGAAGATCTCTCTGAGGAACTGGCATTTAGCTGAGACCATCCAGTGGTTGCTAATAGCTGGGCAGCTCACAATAGGGAGAAAGCATAAGAAATGTCAAAAGATGAGGTGTCCTGCCAGGAAGTCCTGCTTTAAACATTATTCACATTTGTAAACTATAGTGTAAGATAAGCAGATGTGAAGGTGAAAGTATCATATCTCATTTAAAGTTCTAAAGAAGATAAGGCGATAACCTTCTCACTTAAGGGAAAGGATTAATTTAGCAGTTCAGAACGGTTTTGAAGAAATCAGTTCCCTTTTCTACCAGACACTCACGGACACACACATAGACAAACTCTCTCTCCCAAAGACACAGGACCGAAATCCAACCTAGAATTGTTTCACTTCTTGATGACAAGACATCTCAGTGATCATGTGGTTCAAGCCCCTTTCTTCATAGATGAGAAACTGAGACTCGCATTGCTGTGAATTTCCTAAAATCTAAATGTCAGTGGGGGCCTGAGCTGGTCTGGAGGACTTTTGAGTACAGCACCCATGTTTTGGTTGGCGCACCCAAACATGGGTGATACTCTGGTTAAATATAATTGTTTTCTTCAAATTGTTTCCTAAGTGCACTGATGTCTAAACCTGTCAGTAGATCTATACTGGAAAGAGTTCTGGCAGGCACCAGAAGATTCGGGTTCTAACTTTAGCTTCACCTACTAGCCAAATGACTCTGGGAAAATCACTTAACCTCTCTAAACCTCAGTTTCCCTATATTATATGTAAAATGGCAATGAGAACACTTGTGTACTACA